ATCGCATTTGTACTTAGATATACTCTGCGGATGATTATTAGAGTTAAGTTTAGGTCAAATAAGGTCATAGATGACAAAACACAAAAGTAATAAACAAACATAACAATTAGATGACAAACAAACATGTATGCACAAGCACACAATCAAACACACACACGCACACATACACACACATTAATGTCTCTATGATCAGATAACAATAATAATAATCATACAAATAGTCCATTAAGAAATTGATAAACATTGTGAAACAAACAAACAAATAAGCCGAAATGCATACAATTCACTTATCAAACATTAGAAAGTTAGAAAGTTTAAAAAAATCGATATGTGAGAAAAAATAATATTTTCTTTACCATACTGTCACATTTAAGTAAAAATAACTGAAACCAGAATAATAAGAATAAGAAATAGATGGAAAAACTGATTTTCAAATGAACAATGATGTAGCCGCCTTTCAGTGTCACTTTCATCGACCATGTGTGTTGGAGTGGTTGTGGGGGTTTAAGACTTTAAAATATGCTGAACTGTAAGACTAAGGACGACAACAACAGAGACTTAAGCTCAATTCACACACATACACAGAGGTGTGTTCACTTTATGCTTATTAAAGTACACAATTCAGGATTTTATCTTGAAGTAAATTGGTGGGTGGTGGTGACTAGCAGTGAAGTCCAGAATGCACATTTCGTCCTATTTGGTATTCGTCATCTAGGCATACATCATCTGCACTCCACAGTCAGTGAGTGAAGGCTCGAACCCAGTACCCATAGATTCAAACGCCAAAGCTTTATCCACTAGACCACTTGGGCCACAAGAGGTAACAGGTATTAGTATCCAAAAATTTGCTTCAAGTTAAATAATCAGAGTGCGTCGGTGTCACGGAGACTGGGACGCTCGACGACTATGCACATGGTCCTAGGTTCGATCCCAAGCCGACGCACTCCTTACCTCGCTACGGCAGAAATAATGCTGGTAAAGAGGAAAGGTTGGTCATGAGGCTAGCAACCCCATCTTGTAAAAGTTAAACACTGCTACAGAAACTTCAAGCCACTAGCTTGAGGCCCTATGTTCCACTGGGAACGTGAAGGGAAAAAAATAATAGATAAATAATCAGACATAGTCGAAGCATCTCCACAAGGAGCCGACATGTCAACCTGAGGCCAAGCACTTCCAACCAATTAATCAACGAAGAAGTTCAAACTGAACTAAATAATTCAGGATTTTATGTTTTTCAAATGTTAGTTTGTAGGAATTTAATCGGTTAGTTAGTGAAAGAGTACTGGATAGCTGTTTTGTCCGTGTTTGCGACTCTTTATCGACTGGCACCCAAGACCACAACACGGGATCGAACCCGAGATCTTAAGATTACGTGGCGGGCTCCTTGGTCATTAATACGACCATGAGGATACAGTCTAATGGCTTATGAATTATAACTTCTGTTTTAGTTTGGTTTTTCCCGTTTGTTAATATATATTAGATCGGAATGCTCAGTCACCTTTGACATGTGAACTCCTAGTACGGACGCTTCGATGATCTCTGAAGACTAACATGATGTTATTTGACTGACAGAGGGGCTAGCGGTGGAATGTCTGTCTGTTTCCGACATAGAACTTTGCACCGATGCGCTGCAGTTCAAGTCGCCACACTCCTTCCTTGTAGCACACAAAGCAAAAGAAGAAAGTAGAAGAAATGCATAATAGGGACACTAAACAGAGGTGTGAGACAAAGGAATAGTAATAACGAAGAACAACATAGTTTCATTGGAAATCTAGGATGACACGATGGCCTAGTAGATAGTGCTTTGACGTTTGAAATGAGAGGTGCTGGATTTAAGTCACAGTGGGGGCACCATAACTCACAGGAAAGGCAGATACATCTCACTGACGAATCGAAAATAGGTGGCAGGGAATATGCCTCCTAGATGTCAATGCTAACCTTCATCAGTCAAAAATATTCAGTATTTTGTTAAAATCCAGCTTATTAGCCTAACAATTTGACTTTAGATCAGTGCTTAACGACTTCCAATCCTCCACTATCTAATATGTTTAAGATACTCTTATATTATCTCATTAACCCTGCACACAATAAGTATGACTCACTGATACACATGTCAACATACACGTGACCACTCAGCTGAGAATATCTGAACTTATAATACAATAAACAATTGTAAGTGAACGAAATATGATCACATGACAAATACTATAGTGTTTCTGCAAAATACTAGGACATTAGCTGGAGTGCATCATTTTGAACTAGTACTGTCTGCAGTGTATAGTATGCAAGTGAAAAGTCTCGATAACTGGGATTTTCTATCTGTAGAAACACATTTCTGTAACAAAATCCACACAGTTATGGTTACCCCCGCGTCCAATAACCATCGCAATACCAAACAAATTTTGCGAAAATCCTAGTTGTATCACTTTATAAAATATTCTGAAAATCGTAAAATTATCTAGAAATCAATAGCACAAATGTTAACTGAATAATATATGGAAATAAGAAATAAATGCTTTATTCATGAATAGGATAATTAAACAACCCGTGAAATTAACTGACATAGTTAGAGGAGCGAATTAATTACTCAACTTTTCTTTATCTAGTCTATGTTGCATGTGATCTGTCTTCTGTGTCTGATGTTAGGTGATATATATCATAGTGTCAGTGGCAATGAGGCCAGGAGTAGAGTCTCAGGTAAGCGAACAAAGCCGATCTATTAGGTTGTGAAGTTACATCGATTGAGATGGTTGGAAAATGTGTCATTCATACACTGAACCTCGACAATCAATGTCGATTGATAAGGAAATGAGTTGAGAGTGGCCAAATTAGCACCTGACATCAGTCCATAAAATACCTGACTGTTATTCTGAACCACTTAAGGGAGCGTAGACTGTCTGGCTAGGATCCTTGAAATTCTAAGAACGAATGGCTGGAGACAAGACTTAAATCCTTATGATTCTCCATGTACATATACATTTGATGTACTTTTTTTATCCACCTTTATGTTTACATTTAAACTTTTGTACTAAAGTAAAACGTTTTACGCTAAGAATTCAGGTATATAGAATGCATGTGAAATAAGCGATGAACTATATAACACGCCTTGTGTTCTGGTTGGAAAATAAGACTTCACGATTTGACGTTTCAGTAGCGATAGTGTTGTATTTCTCATACGAGGCGTGACTGCCAGCCTCACTTCCAACCTTTCCCTTTTACCGGGTTTATTACCAGCCAGTACAACACTAGGCAAGATTTAGGAGTGCGCCGGACGGTGATCGAATCTGGACCCTCCTTGTGTGGCTGACTGGGAAGCATTCTACAATTGAACGACCGATTATGATTATTCCCTTGGGTTCCGAGTGCAATATAGGGCTTCAACAACACACCTCCACTTTGTTCTATTCTCTGCTGTCCTCTTCAACTGAGTCCACGATTCCCCACAATCTTTCATCTCGTTCTCACACGATCTCTTCCATGTCAAACTCGCACCGACGACTCACTCGTCGCTTCCCAATGGTCTGCATTGCGCACGGTGTCATTCGACGGTCTCCTCAACGCATACCCTACCCATCTCCACTTTCTCCTATATATTTGTTGAGCAATCGGCTCTTGCTTGTTGGTTTGTACCCAGCCAGAGTTTCTCGGTGCCAATTGTTTTTGGGAGGTCGGCCATTTGATCTTCAGTATGGAGCCAGCTAGTAAAGGTGTCAGGTGTTGATAAAAGTCTGTAGCTTGTTGGAAATCCTTTTCGTCACTCACGAACAGTGCAAGTTGCTGAGCCGTATAGAAGAACTAACTGACTTAGTGACTTGAACAAAATCAAAATGTTCTTCTTTATGCTGGATGAGTGAGCGTAGATGATTTCCAAAGTGGTTTCAGGTTGATGAAGGCGTATATTGCCCTTCCGGTTGTGCCTGGCTAGTGCTGATATCTTCAGCCGTTCTGTTGGCATGTAGTTAGAACGACGCTTCCTAGATAAGTGACGGAAGTAACCTCTGTCAAATCTCTCCTGTTGATGGTGATTGCTGCTGGTTGTTGTTGTTGTTTTTGTTGCGATTCGTTGGTTATCTTCATCACCCTCGTCTTCTCTATGTCCACCTGGAGTCCTGTCTTCGCTACCTGTCAGCCTCTTCTGCCTGCAATTCTTCGAGTTTGTGTGACATTAAACATAAATATATGTGTAAAACTTGGGCACTGTGGTAGTAAGTAATTCCATATTAGTACTGTTTCACTGTGTGATACATCTAATAAACAAACTAATATGGAATTAAACATAAATGCCTCGCGAAATCTAGATATTCTAGAGTCTTCTCTTCGGTTCAATGTATTCAAGACCGACTTGTACAAACTAGTAAAACTTAAATGGCATCAATTTGAAAAATTAATAGTGAAACAGAAACTTTCGATGAGGAAGGTTTTAAACCAGCTGGGTACAAAATATTCGTAATCGTATAAATATACTACAACGTTTTGAAGTCTGCCTTACTCGAAACGAAGTCTTATGCTATTCTAGGCTATGGAGCATTAAACACTGAAACTTTTTATATCTTTCAAACGACGAACTTACACACCAACTTTGTAAGTTTCATTGATCACATCGACTACATGGAAACTAATCAATCTCGACAAAATCATGTCAGAGCACAAACACCGCTTATAACTTTGAACACAGTTCATATTACAAGTCAGTGTTACTTACTGAAAAGTTATGAATGAATCATCTGAGAGAACAAAGTATCACTCACGCCTACGCTATTTCAAAGTAACATCGAATTCGAAGAATATAATTTATTCAATCATAACACGAATTTATTATTGCCTTCCATGCAATCATCAAATATCAAGTGGTAAAAAGATTCTACTGAAGAACTCAAACAGAACCCTCCAAAGTGTTTGTGGTTTCTACACACTCATTCAATATAAACATTTCCATAAAATCATTAATAATTTATTTTTGAATCACCTGGTAGCTTTTTAGGAATGATAAAATGACTTACTTCAGACAAGGCAGATGATGACTGATCAGTATTAGGCGGGCGTGTAACCTGGGCAGAAGATGTCGAGGACACGTCTTCGTCGGAATCATCAGAACCTGTTGTAAAATATAAAGCATTATATGTCAATAAGTATCCTATATATATATATATATATATATATATATATATATATATATATATATATATATATACATCAAAGGCATTTTCCATACAATGATAACGCGTACGTAATCTGAGAACTCTGATAAATGAGTGACACAATGACGCGCTTGTTTTATCTAACAACACATTCGGTAGTTTTCAGTTATCCTGACAGCTTCTAGTATTGTTTTTGTTTTTTTTTCTGAATGAGGAAGTATCCTAATTTAAGAGTAACAGACTTTTGATTTCACATACACATTACTCACTTAGATGATTTTTTTCGCTAAATGTCCCCCACTTTCATCAGTAACAATATGGACAGCTTGTGAATTAAGCGAGACAGGTTGATTACTAAAAATAAATAGTTTGCAAAACAAAATGTTTTTTTTCTCAACTTATCAAATTTCTATCAAAGATAATACACAACAATAGATTGTTGCTAGACAAACACCGGATAAGAAAGTATGTTCCACCCATATACGCACATACACACACACATACACACACGAGGTTGCAAAACGACGTGCAAATGATGTGTGTAATCAATGAGAATGGAAATACACATAAAACAAGTGAAAAATGATACATTCATGTGTGTGAACGACCGGTGTGTATAGTCAGTCCTATAACTTACGAGTGTGCATTGTACTGTTTACAAAAGGCATACAATAGTGTGTAAAGCAATTGATATTGAAAACTGTCTAAAAGCAAGTAATCATTGAAATTACTGTTTAAGTCAATTTGTACTCCTCCCCGTTGACCGATTATTGTGTTCGCCTGAAATACTCGATTTCGTTGGACATGTTGGCTACTGGTGTAGACGCTTTGATGACATCTAAGGATTAACATCATGTTACTTTGAATGATGGTGACTAGCATTGGAATCGAGGAAGCACACTTCGTCCACCTTGGAGTCAGTCAGCTAGACATGTCTGCAACCTCGATGAGTGACTGTGTTCCCATTGGCCCGGTAGATAGTATTTTGGCGTTTTAAACGATGGGTGCTAGGTTCGAATCTCAGTGGGAGTAGCATCCAGATGACGCGTCCTACATGGGACGAAACCCACATGCTTGACTCTAATCCCTATCGCTAATCAGAACTAACTAGGTGGGGAGACTTTTAGCTTGTAACTCACTGGTTGAAAATCGAATACTCAGACCGATGAACTGCAGAGCTACATATAACTACTTATAAGTATAGAGATAAAAAAACATGGATTTGACCTTTCTAATTATATTTTTTCTACAAATGACAACTTTATAACTCTTATCTTTGCACAAAGTCACGGTAAATTGGAAGCCCGATAAAATACGATCAAAATTGACCCAGATACACATGAACAACTGATTGAGTAAAGTGAGTGAAATGGTAAGCACCTCTTCGGCCTCATTTGGTCGCCGTCATCAACACAATCCATTAAGTGAGATTTACATTAAAAACGGCTTACAAACGTCTTAAAAGTGATTATCACACTTCATTAAGATATCTTATTTCTTATTATCAACACTAACCTTCAGAATGGAAATGAAGCTGGTTGCTTTGTTGTACCCTGGACTTTTCAGTAGCACAAATCCAAGCGGCTGTTTTACTATATGATAGAAATCTGGGTACACATCAATAAAGGAATTGCCTTATTTTCAATTGGTTGCACTGAAAACAAATATGGAACTCTGAAACACCGATCATAAGTTTAAAAAAACACCGTCTGTTGAAGCTTCTAAGTGCTCGAAAAGATTTTTTATGAAGCCACTGTTGAGTGTATTAGGAGAACCAACAAAACGCATGTCAAATAGTCTAGTAATTATGCACAATTCATGCATTAAAGAAATTACATTGTGAAAATTAAATTCCTGTAATAAGCCCTTCTACTAAAGCAATATATCATCCACGGAATGGCTGAATAACCCACCCACCCTCATCCCTTAAAGAACGACATTTTTTAGTCCACTTCCTAACTCTGGAATATTTAGATTTTGAAGTTTTCAAAGGAATTAAAATAAAAGCAGTCAGGCAAATAAAAATTTACCTGGTACAACACGCTCTTGAGCTTGATTTAAATATGACAAACGGTTGAGATCATGACGTTTACTAGGTGCCAAGGCATCATGAGGTTCCTGTCGAGCTTGTACAAGAGCCTCCTTTACAGCCTCATCTCGGATGTCTGAAATTTTATTAAAAACGAAACAATTATAGTGTAATCAGAAGATATTATGATTCATCCTATATACAAAAATACTAACTTCTCTATCATAAATAAATACACGGACATTTAATGGAGACCAGTTAGTTAAATATTTTGAAAAGACCAGTTAACACTTTTAAAAAGACCACGAATACCGAGAAAATATATCGCACTAATAATCATGGCATACTACTCGAAATCAGGCAGGCGCGTAACAGCTTACGGAGAACCGTCACATCGCTAAGTACTTCAAATGGACAAAAGCTGACAAGAGAAATTCTGCAATAACTACTCAGTGATGATGAACACACACAAAAACGATATGCAGGCTGGATGGAGCTCATGAAGTTGTCATAGAAAATATTTTCAATTCAATAACCAAATACACGAACAAATAAAAGGAACACATATGGAATCGCCTATATCAGGATCAATAGCCGAGGTAGTTATGCGAAGATTAGAAATGATAGATGTACCAATACGCAGACTGAAATTTGGATACGTTATGTTGACGATCTATATGTCATAATTAACGTAAATGAGTCAGAATATACTCACAAATCAATCAACAACGTATTTAAAGATACTAAAGTTACAAGAGAAGAAGAAACAGAGCAAAATTCCTACCCTACCCTATATGTCTTAATCAAGAGAACAAACATGGGAAATCCGGAAACACAAGTATACAGAAAATCAACACAAACAGACCACATACTCAGTTATAACAGCGACGATTCAATAACACACAAAAGAAACTGTAGAAACTGAAGAGAATAGAAGAACATAATACTCAAACCAGTCGAAATAGATGTAGCATACAAATTAACGCCAACACTTTATTCAATACTGTGCAGACCAAAAGATCAAACGCCAAAAGAAGAAAAGATCAATAGCATCCACAAAATAAATTGCCCGAACTCAGAATCCACGACCATAAAACAGCTGTGAAAAGATACGTTTCCTTTCATATCAACAATGCATGCAGACAACTATGGACACCAGTTTGATGGGGAGAATGCTGAAATTTTAAACAGAAGCATCGACAATACCACGGAATTTCTAGAATCCCGGTACTTAGATGAATCAGCAACTAAAGAGACAAATTACTACAGACCGAAATGATCAAGTAATAAAGAATAAACTACATGATAAACAAATTTGAATTTCAAGTCAATAAAAAGGATCAACACCGATGCATATTACGGACCAACTATGACAAAGGTTATCACGAGATAAAACTATATCATTTATATTGAAACTTGTGCTAAGATAATGTTGTCTAGAAGGAAAGTGAAAGCTTTACAATTAAAACAACCAGCTCAGATAACGCAACCGAATATACAATAATCAATTGTTAAACCTGTATAATTTTGTTTTGTTTGTTGTTTCACAGGTAACGATAAATTTATCAAGGCTCAACTACCGACCAAGAGTAATCAGGACACATGTCCAAATGGTAGAATATAAAGTGGTGCTCACAGTCCAGTAAAACGCACTGAATAATATTCCTATTCTTATGTAATGTAAAGCTTCCTGATTAAGGCCACGGACAAGCCAGTTACAGAAGCATGAATCTCAACACTTTGGATGAGAAAGACAATTTTGGACTACTGGAATTCATACTTAGAAATTCTTATCAAAACATCAATCAATCTAAAGCCACGGAAGACTACTTTTACACACGACAAATACACAAAGAACCAGGGCTTAAAATGGGAACCTTACCCGACCGATAGCGATGATTTTCACGTATATATCTACGGTTTTGAGCATTAATTGGAGAATCGTTTTGAGGTTCATTTCTGAAAGACTCTGGTGCTTCACCATCTCGTAGGGCTAAATTGCTCCCATAGTTTTCATTCAGTCCAGGAAGTAAGATACCACCACGAGGAATATGTGAGTTACACGGTGGATTAGTGGAATTACCTAGATTTATTGTTACAAAAAACGGATAAATAGATTTTAGGGAAGAAACGATGGAATATATGAGGCTTTTTCATAAACTACATTATGGAAGTCTTACCACACTAGTAATTCCCACTAATGTGTAAAAGCCATGTAGCAAAATTTCAAAGAGTGACTACAGTTGCTCAAAGTTAACCCTCATGCGATGAATAATAATAACAACGCACATCACTTAACAAGGTATGCTCACTTCTCACATAAGAGTACGACCTATTGCTTTGCACACCAGTTGGTGTGAGACTGCTGGGTCGAAAAGAATAATGCAACAAATACGTGAAAAACGAAAAAACCATAAAGTAACTTATCACACTCTGCCACGTAACATACACCAATCAACTTAGTAATATCTGGATGTGAAGGAAATACCGAGTAAATATATAGCACTGATTAAGGCAATCTGCTCGAACTCATGCAGCCAGGTGAGAGACGACGGAGAGTTGCCATCTGAAGTGATGAAAACTAGTGGCGGCCGTCAGAGATGCTCACTGTCTCCGTTTCTCTCTAACTTCATCATAGATGTACTCAGGGATTGACTTGTCACCAAGGTGTAATCTCGTTGACTTAGAATATGAGGATGAGACAGTCCTTCTAGGTGAAGACACTGAAAAAATGCAGAGTCTTCTGAACACCTTGAGGAGCAGCAATCTTCGAATGTTTGGCATGCGATTCGCCCCGTCTCTCAAATGTAAGGTGATGCTACAGGACTGGACTACATTGACTCCTAGATCGAAGATAGGAAAGGGGTGAAGTGGTAGTGTGTTGACCATTTCACTTACTTGGGAAGTTGCATCAGCCAGTGTCAGAGGGTTTAACATTTTTCAGCCAGGATCAGGTTGGAAAAGAGCCAGTGGTGGTCAAACCAAAACATGGCTTTATCAGTCAATGAAATCTACAACGGTTAGTTTAAACCAGTCACGTAGGGTGTGGACTGTTGTCTGGTTGGGGTCGTAGGGATGGCCAAAAGCAATGGCTGGAGACAATTGGTGATATGACTTAAAATCGTTCTCAATTCTACTGCTCCTTCATATTACTATTATTTTTGCCCCACACTCCAGTTTATTATCTCTTTCGAATCTTTGTTTAATCTCTCTTCTCGCTTTGTGTGCTACATGGAGTGTGGTAACTCGAACTGCTGCATATCTGTGCAAATTTCTGCGTTGAAACCAGTCAGTCAATATCCTTTCTTCAGAGGATAAAAGCATCAATAAAAAAACCTGAAGTTATAACACTAAAGATCAATGACTAGAAAACAAAAGGAAAGTGATTACAATACGTAATCCACCAACAGATCTTATCCCGATGAAATGTATACATGCGTAACAGTGCTTACTACTTAAAAATTGTCCTTTTCAGTGTGCAAGATCAAATACAGGCATAAACCACATGTAATTCAAGCATACTACCATTCCATAACTTGATAAAGTTAAATCTAGACATCAGCATATTTGTCTCAATTCTTAATTTACTTCATGAATGTCCAAAATATTAGCATGACTATTGTGCTACTGAATCGTTTTGAGACAAGACATATTTTACATTGAAACATTGTGTAATTCAACATGGTTCTAGATGCAAAGTAAACAGTAAGTTATGGCTGCAATACATCATGCAATAAAAGATTATAACCAACTCAGGAACCCATCATCATACGTAATTTTATTAGTGAGGTGTACAACAACATAGTGGAGAAGGATACAGCACTGAGACCCGCAAATTCAAAGTTTAGCAGAGAATAACCAAGAAATGCTACACAAAAAGTCACAACTCACCACCAACCGTAATAAACGGGGCTAATAACTTCTGTTTCTTTTTTTGATACCCTTTTTCTGTGATATCACCTGAAAACAGTCAAATTGAAATAGATAATATTAACTTTTCAAATTAAAAAAGTAGGTGGGAATTTGATGAGTACAACGTTAGAGGGATTTGATATGCTATTTTCATTACTTTCAAATTATCGTATATATCTTCCAAGACAAAAAGGAGTATTCTGCCAATCGGTAACCATCAAAAATTTTAAGCCTGTAGTGGCAACTCCATAGAAGTATTAATCTACAACACCATCTCTCTCTGCTTAAGCTGACTGGTTCAGCTGAAGGTACGCGGTCAAGCACCCACCACATTTGGGTCATCGTCGTGTCACTTTCGGTCGTTCACGGCCCCTCTCTAGTTAGCTAAGCACCCCTCCGGCCTGAATTACATCAACCCTGAAATACAATTCACACTGTCTATGCTCCAACTGTTGTTCTGATTTACTGTATTCTGGTCTAACTCATAAGTATGTTTCAGTTTGTAAGATAGCACCAATTCTTATCCACATTATGCAAGAATGATTCACGGAAACTACCATTTATGTCGAAAGGGGCAAGAGTAAAGAATAGATGTCACAGCGAAATGACCTTGAACCAACCAATTGGATCACCCAACATTACAAAAGGACACTTTTCATAAACTTCTTTGCAATTTTCACCCTGATTAAGAGTCAGGACCAAGTTTAATGGAGAGTTACTATTGAATTTAGAGTCAGGGTAGGGTTAGGGTAGGTTTACGGTTAACGTTAGGGTGAAGCGACGAATGTTACGGACAGCATCCATTGAGATGTTGATCGTTGTGTTTTACATCATCAGGTTATTTTACATATAAAGTCAATCATTCATCAGAGTTGATGGTTCCTATGACTAGTGCTCATACAAACTATATTGAAGGATATGGGGCGTATCAAATAAACAGATTAGAATGGTAAATTCAAATTTCAGATTCAGATTTATTGGTTGAGGATAGAGGGCTTGGAGCCGATGTTAATCCTTTTCTGGTTGTCCAAACCCTTCTTGAACGAGTCGGTTGAGGTTGCAGACACCACTTCTTCTAGGAGTCGGTTCCAAGAGTTTATGACTCAGTGTGGGAACCAGTACTTAATAGCAATATCCAAAATCACTCTCACAAAAAACTGGGACCCCTTTTTGCAGCATGTTAGAGACATAGTACACGTATTACTTCTACTATGAATATATATATATATATATATATATATATATATATATATATATATGACTGACGCAAACATCCTTTTTATACTTTAAGTGACACATTCGACCTAGAAGGATATGATTGGTTGATTCAAGATCACTGAGCTGTAGCATCCACTATTTGCTGTGACCACAATGTCAAGGTGGAAACGAAATCAAGTTGAAAAATTCCTATACACTTTCGCCGAATCATCTTTAATTACTTCACCATGATTGCTTGGAAACCTGGGTAAGGTCTTATGACTAATATTATCGAAAATGTTAATTCCTGTATATCAGTAAATCCTTAGAATGACGATGGCTCAATCAATGAAACCCCAACAACTTCTCAAGTTATCTCAGTTCAATTTTTTTAACTTCAGTCATCTATTGAACAACTGTGAAAAGTACGATCTTAAACACTGCTTGTGCTATGTTTTTTAAAGCGAAAGCCTGCTCTAGCTAACTCAGTCAATACACAATGAATTCAGAATTTTTATCAATTAGCTTTGGGACTCGAGACTCTAGTTTTAATCCCATTTCATCCACTACGGTTTGAACAACAGCTTAATACTGTCAGCCGATCCAAAATAATTTAATTTAATGTATGAAAAATGTTTCCGGATGAGATTTTCGTAAATACAGGAAATATACAGCCATTTCTTGATATCAATAAAAACTGCATGCCAACGAAATAAAATGCATGTGATTTTACTTGTCCTACAACGTACAATCTAAAGGAACAAAGGCAAAATATTGTCTTTGTCATATATATCAGGGCCAATGCGAAGATCGAAGTAGTATAAAACAATGAATTTACCTTCAGAAAGTTCAATTTCAAGTTCGGCTAATTTGGTTTTGATTTCTAGTGGCAATCTTGACTCATCTATACTATCCATTGGAAGTAGGTGTTATGGAGAACGACCTTCATCCTTAAGGTCATAAAATCAAAACACCCTCGTAAAATGTAGTGACTTAAAATACTCGGCTTTCATATTTCAAAATGGAAGGCCTTTATGTCTGCATTTTTGATTTAGATCTGCTAAAAGTTGTCGCACTAAGATTTCCAATTAATTGGCAGAAGACCTTGACATTTAGTGCTGTAGCAGATGATTCTATTGACTATTATTTCGATCCCGTTAACAAGATACCAGACAGTGATGACTCAGCGCTGGTTACGAAGTTTATGGCCACATGTGAATCTAGCCACTATTCTGAGGAGTGGTTAATTATGGATTACTGACATGATTCTTCCCTTGGGTTCCGGGTGAAACGTACGACTTCAGTGAGGCATCTCAATTTAATTCTGCTTCCTGCTATCATGATTACTTTTATCTACGCCTACTTGCATTCTTTACTTCCCCTTTCAAATTAGCTTTTACAAGTCGTCACGGGAACCCATTACCAACGTTCTCCGTTCGGGTTACACTCAATAGTCTGACATCTGGCGTAACTCAATGCTCCAATAGATTTCTATTTCCATCCGTAGATTTGTTGGGGAATAAGTTCTTTCTGATTCCAGTACGCCTGTGAATCTCTCGAATTTTATATTTGCCGCCAAGAATATACTTATAGCACTGAGTCATTGAATCTAGATGTGAACATTTTCACCTACGACGCTGACAGATCACAACTTATGGATATTCGGCAACTAGTCACTTCCTTCACCAATTCAGCGGATTCGTTAAACTGAAAGTAATGAACTAACCACCCTCAAAGTTAAGTGCGAAACTCTGAAAACTTTCTTGCCGAGCAGAAATATAGGCGCGGTATGATAATTAACGCATCAATCTACACACCCACAAAGTCAGTTATCTATGTTGTGTTATTTAAATCTGATGGCTGTGACATGATTAGCTCTAGGCACATCTCACAGAAAAGTCTCCATTTTGTATAAAATCACCTGACTTTAGGAGGTTTGCTTATGATCACTTATAATTGATAGGATTCCACATATTTTGGTATTGACTGTTTAATTTTGTATATATGGTATATTATCATTCTCACACATTTTGGTAGTGACTGTTAATTTTGTATATATGGTATATTATCATTCTCACACATTTTGGTAGTGACTGTTAATTTTGTATATATGGTATATTATCATTCCCACACATTTTGTTACTGACTGTCAACCTCGCACATATGGTATATTATCATCTCTCACGCACTTTGTTATTGGCTATTAAGATAAATTATTTCAAATGCTGTTAGCTGTCCATATTGTTGTAAAATGTATAAATACCATGGCTTTCTTTATCGTTGTTGCACTTCAATACACAGTCACAGTCCAGCCTTTGTCTTTTGATATTTGCGTGCTCTACTAAGTCGGAAGGTACGACGAGCAGATAGACAGATTAGTTCAGGCGCAGACAGAATAAGGTGAAAACGTCTTCATTTCAATCCCCACAGATATAACAAATTGGCGACGGGGTTTTACCTTAATTCAGTGCAGTTATAACAAATTGGCGACGGGGTTTTACCTTAATTCATTGCAGTTATAGCAAGCAAACGACGACAGTTTTTATTCTGTTCAGCGCAGCTATAGAACATTTTTGACTGTGTTAATTACAACCCAATTACAATGTCTATCTCTCTGGACGATCTCAAATCTATCTTGCAGCAGCAGCAAGTTCAAAATGAAGCAGCTCAACTAAAATTAATCGAAGCTCTCACTCAGAAGCTGTCCATTCAAGTTCCATCACCATCTCATTCAGACAAATATGAAAGCATCTCAAATTCCATTAGTGAGTTCAACTACGACCCAATATCTGGTCTCGTATTTGATGCATGGTTCAATCGTTACGAAGATGTTTTCCGTATTGAATGCCACATGTTTGATGATGCTGCCAAAGTCCGATTGTTACTAAGAAAACTTGGTACTGTTGAGCACAACAGATATGTTAATTTCATTCTGCCCAAGAACCCACGTGAGTTATCATTCGATGAGACAGTCACCGTTTTATCACAAATCTTTGGTGAACAGTCATCCATGTTTAATATTCGGTATCAATGTTTTCAGTTGACAAAAATTCCTTCCGATGATTATGTGACTTACGCTGGCAAAGTGAACAAGGAATGTGAAAGGTTCAAACCACACGAAATGACATCAGATCAGTTCAAGTGTTTGATTTTTATTTGTGGGTTGAAGAACCCAGAAGATACTGACATACGAACTCGACTTCTGTCACTTGTGGAACAAGACCCGAAAATGACTTTACAAATGGTGACAGCAGAATGCCTACGTTTAATCAACTTGAAGCACGATACTGCTATGGTGGAGTGCAAACGACAGTCGTCTGAATTTGGTTCGATTAACACAGTGAAAAGTCCTCCGATCACCGTTAAGCACACAGAACGTCAGTCTCAAAATTCAGCTAAACCTCCTTCAGTGTGCTGGCGCTGTGGTTCGTGGCATTTTGTCAAGTTCTGTCCTTTCAAGAAGCATAAATGCCGTAATTGTCACCGTTTCGGACATAAGGAGGGTTACTGTACACCGCAGAAAAATTCTTCGGTGAGGAACAGAAGTAGTCGTTTCAAGCCGAAACGATCTCCTCGAGTACAGACCGTTTTCACTACTTCCAAAGTCGAGTTCGCCAGCAAACGTAAGTACATAACACTAGATATTAACGGCAAACGTATTCGTCTTCAGTTGGATACGGCATCAGATATCACCGTAATTTCCCGAACTACGTGGCGCAAACTTGGTTGCCCACAGATTCTGCCGACCGAGCATGTCGCCAAGAATGTCTCTGGAGATATACTGAAACTTGTGGGTGAGATCAATTGCCAGGTTCAGTTTGGTGAGCATCACTTCAATGGTGTATGTTACGTTACAAACTACCATGATTTGGATTTGCTTGGTCTTGACTGGTTAGACAAGCTCCATATCTTTAATGTACCATTAAATTCAGTATGCTCTAATGTTTCGTCTTCACCACACAACGTTGTTCCCGGAGATGTATCTGATGAATCTCTCTTGCAACGCCGTCGTCAAAAGCACGCTTCTGTCTTCCAGGACAAACTTGGTTGCTGCAAACTGTTTGGCATCCAGCATATTCGTAGCCCCCCGTATCATCCTCAATCGAATGGACAGACTGAACGTTTCGTCGACACCCTTAAGCGTGCTTATGCAAAAGCGAAGGGGGAGGGAACAACAGAAGAAATTTTGGATAAATTCTTGCTGCATTATCGTACGAATGAAAAAGGACAGTTATGTGTCAGACACACAGATCACGCTCTATCCAGTACCACGCAAAGGTCAACTCGACAAAGAAGAGCTCCGAAACCTTTTCAAATAGATCCAAAAAGCAAGTCCTACACTCTTTACGGGGGGAGGTGATAGGATCCCACATATTTTGGTATTGACTGTTTAATTTTGTATATATGGTATATTATCATTCTCACACATTTTGGTAGTGACTGTTAATTTTGTATATATGGTATATTATCATTCCCACACATTTTGTTACTGACTGTCAACCTCGCACATATGGTATATTATCATCTCTCACGCACTTTGTTATTGGCTATTAAGATAAATTATTTCAAATGCTGTTAGCTGTCCATATTGTTGTAAAATGTATAAATACCATGGCTTTCTTTATCGTTGTTGCACTTCAATACACAGTCACAGTCCAGCCTTTGTCTTTTGATATTTGCGTGCTCTACTAAGTCGGAAGGTACGACGAGCAGATAGACAGATTAGTTCAGGCGCAGACAGAATAAGGTGAAAACGTCTTCATTTCAATCCCCACAGATATAACAAATTGGCGACGGGGTTTTACCTTAATTCAGTGCAGTTATAACAAATTGGCGACGGGGTTTTACCTTAATTCATTGCAGTTATAGCAAGCAAACGACGACAGTTTTTATTCTGTTCAGCGCAGCTATAGAACATTTTTGACTGTGTTAATTACAACCCAATTACAATGTCTATCTCTCTGGACGATCTCAAATCTATCTTGCAGCAGCAGCAAGTTCAAAATGAAGCAGCTCAACTAAAATTAATCGAAGCTCTCACTCAGAAGCTGTCCATTCAAGTTCCATCACCATCTCATTCAGACAAATATGAAAGCATCTCAAATTCCATTAGTGAGTTCAACTACGACCCAATATCTGGTCTCGTATTTGATGCATGGTTCAATCGTTACGAAGATGTTTTCCGTATTGAATGCCACATGTTTGATGATGCTGCCAAAGTCCGATTGTTACTAAGAAAACTTGGTACTGTTGAGCACAACAGATATGTTAATTTCATTCTGCCCAAGAACCCACGTGAGTTATCATTCGATGAGACAGTCACCGTTTTATCACAAATCTTTGGTGAACAGTCATCCATGTTTAATATTCGGTATCAATGTTTTCAGTTGACAAAAATTCCTTCCGATGATTATGTGACTTACGCTGGCAAAGTGAACAAGGAATGTGAAAGGTTCAAACCACACGAAATGACATCAGATCAGTTCAAGTGTTTGATTTTTATTTGTGGGTTGAAGAACCCAGAAGATACTGACATACGAACTCGACTTCTGTCACTTGTGGAACAAGACCCGAAAATGACTTTACAAATGGTGACAGCAGAATGCCTACGTTTAATCAACTTGAAGCACGATACTGCTATGGTGGAGTGCAAACGACAGTCGTCTGAATTTGGTTCGATTAACACAGTGAAAAGTCCTCCGATCACCGTTAAGCACACAGAACGTCAGTCTCAAAATTCAGCTAAACCTCCTTCAGTGTGCTGGCACTGTGGTTCGTGGCATTTTGTCAAGTTCTGTCCTTTCAAGAAGCATAAATGCCGTAATTGTCACCGTTTTGGACATAAGGAGGGTTACTGTACACCGCAGAAAAATTCTTCGGTGAGGAACAGAAGTAGTCGTTTCAAGCCGAAACGATC